GGCCCACTAGATCCATTTCTATCCTTTCAAAAGGCACCTCAATTATTGGAAATGGAACTAAAGGACTTCTACAACCCAGGGAATGAGATGTTCTGTGACATTTTGCAACACCAGCAACTACACCAAGCCAATAAAACCTTGTTAAAATTCTCTTTCTTTGGTCTTTTCTATCCCAAGATGTCCACCAAGCATGTGGCTATGTGCTTTATCTAAGACAGTCCATCTAAAAGCTTGTGGTACAAGCAGCTGTTCTATTTCCTCAGTGCCCCTCTTGTCAAAATGAGATTATACAAGAGATTATTTTTCAAAGCAAAATAGGAATAAGGAGTCCCATCAATTACATTTATATTAGCCTGTGTATTTGCAAGGGCAGGATCCCTTAACTGGGCGGAACCAAAATTCTCTATGCTGACTCCAAAATCGGGAACCTCTTCAGAAGCTGCAGACAATTTAGCCTGACCAAAGTTTGTTTAATCTCCTACGGAGACAGGAACAAGGGGTTCTTCAACCCTTTCATCACCAAACAGATCTATGTCTGTAAAAGAAAAAAAATTACCGTCTTCCTCCCGATTACTAGCTCGATATTTACTACTATCCTTTGACTGACATAATACAAGGAAAACCCTCTACAATATGACAGGTTTTGGTAAGGATGGTACAACACCAACTTGGCAGATCACCGAGCCAGCCTCAGTCCTTATATTAACTTTGGCAGTAGGACATTGGTAGGTGTCACCATGTATGCAAGTTACGCTTGCCGTTCTATGTTCCTCAATGAGGGAAGGCTAAACTAACTCTCTTCACACCAGAGTAACCATACTGCCAGAGTCTAACAAAGCAGTAATTTGCTGGTTAGCAATCTTTGCAGTACACAAACGTTTACATCCATAATTTTCCCCAAAAAATTCTGTCTCTATGCAACAATTTTTTTTCCCTCTTTCTACACTTTCTCCCAGGTTACAATCCATATCTCCTTCCCCCAGGGGACATTTGCTGGCAGTTCTTGGCAGCAGAAACACTGTAGGACAAATTTCCTCCTCCAGGTTGAGCAATACTTTTCACAGGACACATCTTTAACTCTTGAACCTTCTCTCTTGTCCATATTCGTCTCCTTCCATTCATCCTTCTTGAGCTTGTCCACGTTCTGTGCCTTTGTCTTAAAGTTACGTTCTGGCATCCCACTCTTTACGAGGTCTGTCATGGTGAAATAGCTTTCAACCAT